GCGAGCAGCCAATATGAGGTAACTGGTATGAATCCAGGTTAAACTAAAGCACTCAGACATGCCAGACTTGAGCTCTGATTACAGTCATAAATTGTTTATTTTCAAGATCCCAAATAGTTCAAGGTTATATGGGATATGATTTATGTTAAGGATGTGGCAATGCGTTCTAATGAAGATGACTTCAAGGTGTAGAAGAATGATATATTAAGGATTTGGCCCAAAATAATATGTGACCAAAAGTTAATATCAGGTACAGGACAAATCTGATTTAAAAATAATTTTACTGCATAAAAGAGACACTTTCCAGCAATGTATTTGCTTCACAGTTGTCCTCTGAGACATTCAGTGAGGTGAATTTTGTCTTTTTTTGTTAATTCTTAACAGATGATGTACATAAAGATGACTGAACATTAGTTACTATGAATATTTCAGTAAGACTGAATGAGTAAAACCTGAAGCATAACGAAATACTAAAACATTTTATCGCTGTGACAAAAGACATGCAAAGCTAAATGAATGCGTCAGCGGTCCTGAATCCCACCAGGCTACAGTATCTGCGACTGTGTGCTTTTTTTATGCAATAACACTATAATAACACATTTATCATTTCTGGTTGATTTTCCCAGAGTATCTTCAGTGTGTAAATATTAAAACTACACACACTCACTCAAGGGACAGCTGCAGGTTTTTTTTTCATCCACATTCTTGTCTTTAAGTAATGCAGTGGCTGTTGTGTCCTTGTGTGTCTGAATGCAAGCTTGTGTGTGTGCGTGTGTGTGTGTTACATGCTTCTGTATTCCCTAAAGAGTTATCCCGGACTGCTGCTGCTGTTTCTCCTTATAAGGATGTCTGCTTGTGGAAGGAGGGATGAAGAAAAAAGGAAAATGAAGAAGAAGGGCACATTTGAGGGAAAAGAAAGAGAAAGTGAACAGATGGAAGGAAGGACAGGTGGGATACGAGTAGGAATGAGAGCACTGGGGGAGGGGGGGTGATAAAGGTAGGGAGGATAAGATGAAGAGAGGGTATTAAAGGAATCAGAAGGAAGAAAAGAAGTTGAAAAACTGTAAGAAAAAATGAGTAAGAACAAAAAAGAGAAAGAGAGCAGGAATGCAGCAAAGGAAAGAAGGAATGAGCAGAAAAGGTAAGACAGGAAGATTAAAAAGGTCTTAGAGGTGTGAAAAGAAGAATATGTGAAACTCAGGTGAACCTAGTGAGTTTTTTAAATGGGTCACAGGTAACAGTGACCCATTTAAAAAAAACACTGCCTTATCTGTGTGTGTGTGTGTGTCTTTCAATGATGTGTTTTTGCAGTTTATCTTAACAAAGATGCTCCACTGATGTTCATCTCCACACCCAGCTCATGGAGCGACACAGTTATCTTCCTTTTTTGATCCTTTTTTTTCACCCTGCGTCTGATCCTCTAATGTAGGCAGCTTCTGTTGATGTTGCTTTGATTTGCACTAAAATAAAGGGATCACCAGAGAGGCCAGAAAATGGAACCTGCCAAGTCAGCTTCTTCGATGATAGCGTGATAACCATGTGTAGTCTAAAATTTAGAACTGTGCAGGTTTGGGCTTTTTTATTTCTCTTCTAAAACTCACGTCATACAACACATGTTTTCACGTAACCATCACATCAGAGCCCAGCGATAGCAAAAGCAATAGCAGGGAAGTATAGCAACACCTGTTCACAGCTGCAAGTTCGTGAACATGGCTGACCTGTTATTTCAAAGGAATTGCATCAATTTGCCATTCCCTGTGAACAGTTTGACACTGAATCACCACTGTTTAAACATCTATTTAAGACATCGCAACATGGTGGAAAAATTGTTTTGAAATGAAAGATGCAATCACCTGGACCTCTAGCAAAGTTGAGCTTCTCTGCCAGAACTTATTTATTATCAATATGTCGCTTAGAACAAAAGAAAACATTTTAATCTGCTGAGCTAAAAAGCTGCTGCATTAGCAACATTTAGGTTGAAGGTTTGACCTCCTGAGACTCTGTGTCCTCATATGGAGACATTACATGTTGTCTTCTCAGCACATTTTGCCTCAGTCTTCTCAATAGTGTTTTATACTTTATAGAGCCTGAATGATATGTTATCTTTATGACTAATACAGATATTTGGTGATTTGGTGGATTTTTATATATAAATATTGCCAATATTTGGCCCAAAAGAATATGTGACCAAAAGACCCATGAAAGGCAAGATTACTTAACAATTCTTATGTGTAGTTATTCATTGACTCCTTTAGGCTCTACTTGACTCTACTCAGAGAGATGACTGTTCCTTTTGTGATTTTCCAAACACATATGTTGCCAGCGGGGAAGTTGTGCCCTCTTGTAGACAAACTTTGAGATTTTAACATTCATAACACTGTTGAATGATGCTTCTCCCATCTCTTCTTCACTATTTTCATTTATCAGACATTATAAATACCAGTACTGATAGATGCAAATGGCAAATATCAGCTGAAAATATCAGTCGTCATCGGTATGTCAGGCAGACTATACACTGCAAAATCTCCAGTGTTAAATTGACACTAGAAAGTGTCTATATGTGTCCACTCTTTTGAGTGTTAAATTAACACTTCTGACAGTGTTATATTTCTAACAGTAAGATAGTCAGTGTTAAAGATTAACAATGACTAACACTGAGCTGTGCTGATTTTCTATCACTGGAAAATAACTAAAAATGCTAGTAATGTTTCAGTG